AGACATGCGATTTTTGGTTTTACGAAGGTAATACGATAGAGAATAATAAAAAGTAATAAAAACTACCGGTTATAGGGGCATTTTTTGGAGAAATTTATCAAATAACCAAAAAAGCACGAATTTTTAAGCAGATTTTTTTCAAAAAGTATATTTTTTTATTATTTGTTGGCCTTTTTTGTGTATTTTATGTATTTTGTTAGTATCGCCTGTTATTTAGCATTATTACTGTTTTTATTTTATCAAGATATACCGCTTAGTTTAAAAGTTATTACGTTTTCTTTACAATAAGTAATTGGAAGAAAAAAAATTCTATAAAAAATAAAAAAAAAATCTCAAAAATTTTTTGACCTCTTTTTTGTCGATAAAAATAGGTCTAGTTTCATTTATTTTCATATGTACACTTTAACGTGACTCACACTGTATTAAAAGCAAGATTTTTTAAATATTTAATTGGTAGGATGTATTTCTTTTGTAAAAGAGCATTCTCATTTATCAATAGCAAATCACTAATTTGTATGTAATAATGTAATATTATTTTCTTTACTTATTAGCTAGTCCAGGCACAGTCATGACTGCAGAGATGCTAACTGAGATTGACACGTTCAAATTTTAATTGTAATTAAAATAACCGCAGGATCGGTCACACTGTCTACGCTGCAGGCACTGCACTGTTTAGTCTTTGAGCATAATGCCTTCTTCATTAATATAAATAAGTAGTAGGAATAGGAAATATTTTTCTGTTTACAAGTTGAATATAATAAAATCGAGAAAGTATTATTATAAAAATGTGTTTTTCTTATTAATATTATTTTATAATATTCTTTGCCATTTTGTTGGTAGCCGGCGACTGGTTGCGCCGCCATGGTGTCCCGGTGAAATATAGCCCTAAAAGCTGAAAGTTTGTCAGCGTATGCTCCCAATAAAGGATAGAATGTTGGAGAATCATAAAGTTTGGATCATCGTGGCTTTGTCAGCTATCCTAAAAAACTGGCAAGGAGTTGGTTGGAACTGTCAAAGCTGTCTGGCTGATGAGGAAACTACTTCTATTTATTGCCCTAATATTTTAAATAAAAATCAGCTTTTATGGTATTTTAAAAGATAACCGTAACCGGTATAATTTATTCCTATATCCGTATATAACCGTATCCATAACCGAAACTACATATCCATAACATCCCTAAATTATGACTAAAAAAAATTAAAACTGAATACTTGGCTGTATGGCGTAATGCCCTTGCCTTTTCCTGAAAAAAAAAAAGCAATATGTCAACATAATGTAAGTCATCTGTCATTTTTTGTAAGATGACCCACGCTGAACTGTCCCGCCAAACTCAATGACAGGGGGGCGCTACCATCGTTCAACTTTAAGGTTTCCAACATGGTAAAAATCTGAACCAGCGATCCGGTATTGACGGTGGCGCCCCACTGTCAATGTCATCGATAGGACAGTCCAGTATTTTGGAACTATACATGACCTACGCTGAACTGTCCCACCAAACTCAATGACAGGGGGGCGCTACCATCGTTTAACTATATGGTTTCCAACATGGCAAAAATCGGAACCAGCGATCCGGTATTGACGATGGCGCCCCACTGTCAATGTCATGCATAGGACAGTTCAGTATTTTGGAACTATAATGAGGATCAGTACTGTTGTAGAAAATTCAATAAAACTAGTATCTACNATGACCTACTTTCATAAAATAAAGACTATTTTACTCAAGCTTTTTATTTTTAATAAATGTAAAAATGCGTAGTTTTGCCAATACGTTTTCTTTCATAAAGCTAAGTCAGGTACCTAGTTTTGAAGATATTTCTAAACGACAAAATCTCGGGCGTCGTATACATAGACTAGTAATAGAGTATACCGCGATCACCGACCTAACTTCTTGATTTGTATATTTCGACGTTATACAGTATACAGTGCACTCTGTCTTCCGCGATCACTGATCTAACTTGTTTTTATAATTCTTCTACTTCTACTTTATTCTAATTAATTACATATTTGTTACTCGTTGCTGTTAATTACAATTCTCAATCCGTAAATAATTTCTTCTCTCTACCGTGTTCGTACTACTGTCCTCGTAAAATCATCGTATCCGATTGTTGTAATCGGATTACATGAACATCACTCGACCATGTATGTCCATTTGGACATATCGGAATGGCACGCTTTGACTAGCAACTTGCTGTATCTACTCTAATCCATATCTGTGGGCTTTTCGACCACTTTGCGACTGGTTTGCGATTATAATTTGCACTTTGTCTAGACCCACAGCACAGATTAGAGAGTATAGTTCCAAAATACTGGACTGTCCTGTCGATGACATTGACAGTGGGGCGCCACCGTCAATACCGGATTGCTGGTTCAGATTTTTGCCATGTTGGAAACCATATAGTTGAACGATGGTAGCGCCCCCCTGTCATTGAGTTTGGCGGGACAGTTCAGCGTGGGTCATCTATACTGGACTGTCCTATGTCCTATCGATGACATTGACAGTGGGGCGCCACCGTCAATACCGGATCGCTGGTTCCGATTTTTGCCATGTTGGAAACCATATAGTTGAACGATGGTAGCGCCCCCCTGTCATTGAGTTAGTTATCTGTGATTGAGTTTGGTGGGACAGTTCAGCGTGGGTCATCTATATTGTAATTATAATTACATACCTACTAGTGAATGAATTTGTGTTTCGATGTGATTGCATTTCTTGCATTTTTTCATGCTATAAGGCAAGCCCAGCATTACAAACAAACAAAAAATTGATATCAATTACTTTATTAATGCATTACATTCACGCCTCAGAGGTACATATTACATAAAATAAATGATCCCACAATTTAGTACAGCGACGCATAATTTAAATTCTCCTGTTGCCTTTATTTATTATGAATCGAAAGAGAAACGTCAATTATATAAAACCAGAGGATCCTGAGTTTTTAAAAGTACTAAAAAGACAAGCTGGTTATGATGACAGGAACCACAAGTTTGATGAACTTCAAAATGCCGAAGACGATTTTGCAGAGGACGATGAAAGCGAGAAACCTCAAGTCATTGTTCTAAAGAAAGGGGATCTTACTGCAGAAGAAGCTGAAGTGGAACAGAAAAAGCTCGAGATCCTAGAATCCAACACTAAAGCAGACCTAACTCAGCGAATAATTTTTAAAACTAAGCAGAAGTCAAGTACAGATAAAGAAACAAATAAAAGAAAATCTAGTAACGCTAAACAAAAAGAATCTAAGAGGTCTCGCCAACTGTTGTCCTTTGATAATGATGACGAAGAAGATTAATCTATTTCAATTACAATCAAGCTTATTGGTATAGTAACATTATCGATCGAAAACAAATACTTACTAGACATTATTAACAATGGATCATCATGCAGAACACATTGTTGCATTAATGTGGTGACAATTTCAGAAAAGGCCAGTTTTTTAATCAGTTGTCAAAGAAGAGAAAAAAGGAAATAATGGTTTTTGAAATAAAATCAAAGTGACCTGAATATAATGTTTTATTTTAAAAAACAAAGTTATTCTTACTTTGTGTACCTAAATAATATTGGGTTATAAAAATTTAGAATATTCCTGACAGTAGTTTTTCAAATATTTATTACTTACATCTAGCTATTAACCCTTATTCAAATGCGAGCTGGTATGCATTTTTTTTACAAAGTTGAAGTGGATTTTGGGTAATTGTGGGTCACTTATTTCATATTTTTGATCAAAATTTATAAAAAAATAGGGGAAGGGGTAGTTTTTTGGGTGGTAAATAATTTACCATTATCCATTCATGACTAAAAATTATTCAATGTTGGTGGTAAAATAGTTGCCATTGTCCGTTTTGGTTCATTTTTGGTTCTTGACTAGTGACTTCCTCTTGGTTCTACCTATATTTTATTAAATATTTTGGGAATGAAATAATATTGTTTTTATAAAAATAATATTTATTAATATTAGTCATTATGCTTACAATTATTACGCTTACCTTGAGTTTGAAACTAACAATAAATTCACTAATTACGGAATGTCAAAACGTTACCTAAATAGTTATCAAAATAACTTAAAATTTATCCAAATATTTATTTAGTTTTATTTGTGCACATACAAAAAACAACAGTTATTTTTATATATCATCAAACTTTTGTCAAGACGGGATCGGACAGTGGTAAACTATTTACCACTTCTTTAAATTGTCTAAACTCTATGAATAAATCAATTGCAGACGCTGCCTATAAGTGAGACTATACAATAAATGTTATAGATTAGGATTTTGAATCGAAAAAACACTTATCAGAATTTTGGTTCAACAAAGTTTCAAAAATACCAAAAATGCGCGCTAAAAACTTGAAATTTTTCACAAAAAAACCGTTTGGTTGACTTTGACATTACCTGACAGTGACAAATGACGTTGAAAAGTTGTAAGATGGCATAGATAAGTAAAAAAATGTATTTAAAAATATAAATAAGTGACCACGATATCTTTAAGTATCGCCATATCGAAAATTAGGATCCTTTTTTAAAAGTAAACGAAGTGGTAATATATCTACCTTTATTTGAATAAGGGTTAAAGATTTGAAGAAGAAACTATCCCCACTTACTAACTTAATTAACATCAACGTCATCAACCAACTAAAAATGTTGGCTACAATTTCCAAATTATAATTTAATGAATTCATGAATGCCATACTTACCTTCCAAAGAATTTACAGTTTAATACAAGACTGATCTAATCAAAAATCTGTTTAAAAAGCTAAATTATACTGACAGCTTCATAAATATAACTAATAATATTTACACGTTTTTTTTATGCAAGACAAGGCAGGTATTTGATCGCAATTGCACCTGATGTTAAGTGAGATGCAGTCTAGGATGGTACATAACTGCCCTGTAAGTGCCTATTCACTCTCGCAAACTTAAGTTATAATGGAACTTTTTACATTATCATCAAAGCTAATCCTTTTTTTCAATTTTCCTCTGGAGCCTACCGATGTATTTATAATATCACTCCTCTGGTAGGTCATTACCATATCAGGGTCACTTTCATATTCCATCAGTTTTCTTAGTAAAAACTTTCGTTCTTCTTTTACGATTAAAATACTTTCCTGGATTTTAGCGACTTCGTCACATAAAGCTGCATTTTCCTGAAATATTACATAAATATTATTTTAAATAATCACTCAATTTCTTAAAATTACAATACTTTAATACCTATCCCCCTGAAAATTGTTTTTGTCTTCTGCAAATTTCTCAAATATTTTAATAGTCAATTTTATTATTATGTTTATACTCATAATACTTCATAGACCTGCTTACTTACAAAACATAATTTGCTACATACTTTATAAACACATTTAATAGCTAATGAATATTGATGGGGGTTGAAAGTAATTCAATACATTATAAGATTAATTATTGTCTCACAAGTTCAAAATAATATCTAAATCAGTAATAAATTATTGTAAGATTGTGTTACATTTAGTTTTATCCCAGGAAAATTTTTAATTGTTATTAAATTTTATGTACCAGTAGCAAGCTTTTAATCCTGATTTTTATGTATTTATACTTTCGTCTATATCTTTTGTTCTGCTTCTCCAACTGAACATTACTCATTATTGGCATTTAATTATTTTTATCAAACAAAATTACGCGATAAATAAACTCGATCAACCAAATTAGACTATTTGAAAATATGACATTGACATTTTTTTTCTTTTTATTATGGGTAAGGACGTATAGGAATGTATCGAATGGATCGTATAAGCTTCGTACTGTAGTCGTAATGCATAAAGTAAAAAGCAGTTTTAACCCTATAATGATAGATGGTTTCGACAGTCTAGTCACGAGACTCACAAGTCTAGCTAAAATGAAATATTAATTAATAAGAATATTTATTAATTACAATACTAACGGTAATTAAAATATCTCTGTACTTGTTTAAAAACATTTAAAGTTGCGTATGCACAATAATCTTAAAATTAGTTATTCGATGAATAAAATAATAACATCAATTTAATATAGGAACAAAAATTAAACATGAAAGCTCTTCTTGAGCGTACCAAACAAAATTAATTGCAGCAAAGTTATATAATAGCTATTATATTCTGTGATAATAGTGAGTGAATAATAATATTATGTAATGGATGGATTCAAATAAGTAGGTATCGTTTTATTTTTGGGTAGTTGCTAAAGCCTATAGGCACGGACTATTGGAGTTGTATTTAATAAAAATGCATATTGCATACCAAGGTAAGCTTTGGTCCAGAGCTCGCACCCTCTCCCTGAATAATTCCAGGCTACGACCTTAATATTATGCCTCTGCCAAATGGTTCTTCAGAATTAGTAGACAAATAGAATATGCCTCTCATATTCCAATCCGCAGCTTCACCCATGAAACCCACATGCGGGCAGGCTTTTTCCAGGTCGCTTCGCCAATTATTACATCGGTACGCAGGGAAGGCTTTAGGATTTATAATGGATTCAGCGAAGTAAATATGCGCTCTGCCATGACTACAAGCATCTGTAAAAGAAAAGAAAAGTTCTGGGACCGCATTGGTGAGTTTTTAATCCAATGCAATAGTAAATCACTTTGGAGTCTTGTTAATAGGTTGGAATTTCATTATCTAAAAAGTTAAGAAGCTTGCATTCTATAGGCCAAGGGCTGAACATCACCAAATTATTTTTTCCCGAATAATTTTAAATTCGATTAGTTATAACATTTTAAGTATACTTACTATTTTATAAGTAGGTATTAAAATATGACGCAACGTACCCCAGTGAAATATATTTTGAATGTTGCATCCCGGTTGGGGTGCCTTTCCATTATTTGGATAAAAATCAGCTTGACCAATTGCATCCCAAAAGCCAAGTACTCCTCCACACGTATGAATCACATCTACAAACTTTGCATCCGCATAGTCCAGCCTTGTTTTTTGATTTTGTATATTTTCAAACATTGGTAATGCTGGATCAAGGCCTGCAATTAAATTTTTAAAATAGAAATATAAATACCTGCCTAGCTAGAGCTAATTAAGCGGGTCAACTGTTAAAGGAAATATAGGAAAATGTACCTACGTAGCATAATTAAATTAATACCAACCTGTGACTCGGCCAATTTTGATTTCCGACTCATAACCTGCAATTCCCATTACGTGTGCGCCTAGACTATGTCCAATTAGATGCATTTGATCACCGGAAATGTTAAACTTCCTGTGCATTGAATTCAGAAATTGAGCTATTTTGCGGCCAACAGCTTTTGTTTGACTTGCAGCCGACATGTAATAATAGTTCATTGAGTATCCACTCCAGTCCACAGCAATAACGTTGACGTTGGTGCGTGCAATGAAATACGAATTTTTTATGTTCATCACAGCGCTTTTGTCGGCATTTGACATCCATCCGTGGGTTATAACTTTTAATGGGGCATTGTTAAAAAGGACACCCATCGCGTCATCTGTGAGCATTGCCGATTCATCCAAAACAATATAATTGTCAGGGTCTTTCCTGAAAATTTAATACACACAATAATTCAAATTTAAACAGTGCTAAAATCTATTGATTTGCGCGACTTGATGGTACCTAAGTAATTAATTTATAATAACATATTTAAAGTACGAGTTAAACTTACATGCTGTAAAATCTAAACTCTATATCCTGTTCCGTTTTCATCGAAGAATATGTAAATGTTGATAAATTAACAAAATGTGGTATACCATCTCCATCCGGAAAATAGATCCAGTCTTTACCATATTCCCCCGTAATGGCGGCTATATGACCTAGAAATTTTATTAACAAATTGATAAATGGATTATTATTATAACTAACTAGCGGCCGCCCGCGACATCGTACGTGTGGACCCCGTTTTTTACCCCCTTAGGATTGAAGTTTCGAGTTTTTTTAGGGTTTTCCCGGAAATTATTCGAACTTTTCTCGCCGTAAAAACCAACTGTGGACTTCAATGAACATTAAAAACAAAGAATTGGTAAAAATTTTCCAGGCGCTTACCAACACATTTTGGGATTCATTTTTATACTATACAGGGTGTTAGGTAAATGGGTATATGAGCCGACACTAGCCCATGTATACATGGTCATATAAATGGTATGGTGAGTTAGAAATTTGATTTCATCATTTTAATTTTTTTAATTTTCATACAAATCGGATTTTATGAAATTTATTTTGTATGAAAATTAAAAAAAATAAAATGATGATATCAAATTTCTGACTTCACTATACCATTTATATGACCATGTTAACATGGGCTAGTGTCGGCTCATATACCCATTTACCTAACACCCTGTAGATACTACATTATTATTTTTAGCAATAGTGCTCGGGTCAGCATCATGACAATGTAAATGTATTATTGACTTAGTTAAAGTTACCTACTTACTTTGCAACTCAGCTTAAGAAAATATTATCTAAAATTAAATTTACTTAGGTATAAAATTAAATAATTTAATTTTAATAAAAATAATATTTTAATATCTTACCGATCCAGGAATTAATAAAACAAAATATTACGAAGTTTAGTTGTTGGACTTTTGCTTGAAGATAATTCATTTTCAATGTGTTATTGATTTGAATTTACTATGTAAGTAGGTACCTACAGTACAATTGAGAAACTTCCAAACTGAAATGGAATTGGTACTTACCTTCCTTTCAGTCCTTTATTTTATGTCAATGGCAAATTAGATAGTGCCATTCGTATTGCATTAACGATAAAGTTAATTGCCAATTAAACCGTTTTAATTAACCACCCTAATTTATTATAAGTGCCTTTAGTATCAAATTGAGATAGGTGCTTATTATGACATGCAATAGACTTAAGGTCTACCAATTTTAGATGTAGGACGAAACTGTTTGCAAGATAGTGGTTTTATTAATATTCTTTTCAAGACTGGCCTAGTTACGTTACATTTATTTCGCGATGAATTGGAAAGGTCTTATTTAGAATCAATTTAACGTTCTGTGGAAAAAAAACAGCAAATAAAAAGTTTTGTCCGAAGTTTTTCAAGTTTTTGACAACACACGTCTCACGGGGGTGATCATGGAATAAAATAAAAGGAACATTAAAATAATTAGCTAATTTTATTTAATTTTGTCAAAAAAAGTTAAAATTTTTGTCACTTAGGTAAAATATAATTTAATCTTATTTTATAATCTTAAAACATAAATTATTGTTAGTTTGAATAGTTACTTCAGTAAAATATTAGAAAATAAGTAAGTAAATGCACAACATACTTAGATTTCTAACTCCTACTACTTACATGTTGCAAAGAGTCCCTGGTTATTAATAATTTATTACCAATGCATTAAATTTTAATAGAGTTTTATACAATTTTAATTGAATTTAATATTCAGTAGTAAAGTAGGCACACGCATTTTATTCTTTTTGGCAATGATAACAAGCACAAGATAATGCTGATTTAAACACTAAATTTCTTTCTCCGTCCAAACAAAGAACTTTAACCGGAACCTGAAAAGAGTAAATGAAAATTATTGTTACTTTACTGTTAAAATATTAAAGAAGAAATCGTACTTACTTTAAATTTTTAACTATTGCACCGAAACATCGTACTTTTGAAGCATTGCAAGGCTCTTATTACAACTATGAGGATAATACAGATCGATCGATCTGTGCTTTAAAAATTATTTTTACGATGTTTCGGTGTGCAATAGTTAAAAACGTAAAGTAATTTAACTCATGTGACTTTTGTAACTTACATCTTCAGCTTCCATAATATTGCAGCATTGTCCTAACGACGTGACTGGATGCCGCTTGTACCCCAGCATGATGCTCGGCAGCGACCACGACTCGCAGAAGCCGCGGCAGGCGTTTGTCGTGATTTTAAACTCGACGCAGTCTGGTATGCTGATATTCCTCGTATGACCTAATCAAAATATTATGTAATTAAGGCGTAGTATCATTGTTATATTCAGAAGACACACTATTAATAAGGTTAGGTCAGGTATTCGGTCTGCCTGCCCAGATCAAGTAAACATCCAATAGGATGTTTACAATAATTCCTTTGAATACAAAGGATTTTGATTTATCTTTAGGAATCAAACACTACTTAAGTAATTACATAAAAATTAAAGGGTGGTGACTCGATGAACAATGGTTAACTGGTAGAGAATAAGTACCTACCTACTGGCATTAATCCCGCTATTTGTACAACTTTACGCTACGTGCAATTAAAATTTATACATCCTTCAGTCAAGATTACACATTACCTATACGATGACATCCGGGTTTTCTCCACGCGTCAGCGGCTAACGTACCACTAAGAGACAAAAACAATATTAAAACTTTTAGACACATTTTCAGTAAACTTTGGGAGACGTTCAAGAAAAATTGTGCTTTACAGTCTGATCAACTGCTAGCTTTTATACCAAGACGGACGTCATGGTACAAGTCGATCAGATGTGGTCAAGTTTAGGCAAGTTTCAGAGCAATTTTCAATTGCATGCCTGGATTAATTTAAAAAGAAACTTTATTATTAGATGTGATGATGTGCATAGCTGCGCATATTATCTAAGTCCTAAGAGGGTACCTAATTAAGTTTTCTATTAAATAAAACACTGAAAATGATGGTGACCGTCTCTTCCACTGCTTCTTCTTGGTCTCACAGCAATGTCATCAGAATTCAGTGCAGTCTCGGTATGTTTGGGAGGTTTCCTCAAAAGGGCCTTTGTACAGATTTTGTGTTAGAATTTCATTCTGGATAAGGGTTTGCTAGCTCTGATCATGTAAATTTATTCAGTTAAATGACATAAAGTTTCCACCTCATAACTTTATTTATTTGGACGTTAGTCTAAATTAATGAGGTGGCAGGCAGTTGAAAAGGACCGTGAAATTATGAAGTGTTAGTGATAAACAAACAGGTCAAGTGAGAATGAGACTCAGAATATGGCTGTAGAGTTGTTGTACTACAACACAACACAACCCAGGATGTCAGACCGTATCATTATCCTGGTTGTAGCAGTGCAGTGGGAAGAATGTCAATTTAGAATATGTTTTTGTTTTAAGAATTTACTTAGTAAGACTGGTCGATCTTTACAAATTAATATGGTGGTGCCTGTATACAAATTGCATCATGATTGCATATTTAGTAAAAAGAAAATATTCCCACCTCTCGTTCCCACCACTGCAACTCCTGTGTAGCCAGGATCTACAGCTTGACCGCCACAAAAACCCAACCAATGAAGGTCAAGTTTGTCCCGGGGGAAAGTTAAACTGTCATTGGACCCGCAACGAAATTAATCAGAAGAACATAGGAGGAGTTCGAAATTAAGGTTCGACTTCCCTCCATTGCAAAGCGGATGACAGGTGACAAACAAAGGTTTAAAAACCTTTTGCATATTTAGTAAGATATGTATTGAGTAAGTATTGACGAATCACTTAAAAGCATTAATTTTTTACTCTTCTAACAATTTGGTCACAACGGGAGTCAAACCCGCTACCGCTAAAACCGAAAGAGCAAATTATGCCATGTAATTAAATACGTCCTAAAAATAAATTCGAAGAACATGCAAAAACTAACGTAATCAACATTAAACAAGAGACTCATAAATATCGAAAGGTTTAATTTATGAATACTAGTGAACAACAAAAATAAAATAAATAAAGCGAGCGACGCCGCATGTGCGCAACCCTTTACAATAGTCATGCACCTAACAACGATACGATCACGATACGATGAACAACTATCAATTTAATTGATTTTTTCTCTTTTTAACTATATAAGTGAAAAAGAGAGGTACCTATAAAAGCCGTCATGTCAGTTTAATCATATCGATTTCATTTTCATCAGTTTTCATACATAGACCTTTATCGATTAAAAAGATAAAAAATACTAGAAATTCATAAAATAATTTTGCTTTTTCTGAATTTTGTGTTAGAAATAATTCCTTAGCGAAAATTTATAGTTTCGATAGTAGTAAAGTATGCTAAGTTATTTTTCACATGTCATGCTCTAAGTTTGTGAGAAAACAGCTAAATACTGCGGCATAGACAAGGATTTGTATGTATGCTTTTTGAAGCTTCACGAAAACAACGGACTAGTATGTATGGAAGTGCGTTAGACTGATTGCGCCGCAAATTATTTACTCGGGTATGTAATTTCTCATAAATCGAATACCAAAATGAACGTAGGGGTTGTTTTAAAAAACTCTATTTACATTTAGTGCTTTCTGATTTCTGCGAGTTACCTGTAGAAGTCTCTGACAAACGTACGGGGTGTGTGTTCTATATACCCCTTTCTTGCTTAATTTTTGCAAATGTTTTTCAATCAAATTGATACATTAACGCTAGTGATTGCAAAACATCATCAATCGTGTTTGTGATACGCCAATTTGTCCTTGAAAAATTGCGGCTTATTTTGTTAATATTTTAGAGGTTATATCACAAAAATTTTGTGTATTACATTTATCTCTATCATTCCTAATAATAATTAATTTATTTTTCAGTGTCGCATATGGTGAGGAATGAATGTGAATAAATCAATATAAGTTTGGCTTTATACAAGGGGAACAAATTTAAATAAGTTGTACCAAAATCAGAATGGCAACTTTAGAGCAACAAGCATCTAAACTTTTGGATTTTAACCAAAAACTCGACATCACTTTGCTGGATAATATTGTCGGATGTTTGTATTCATCTGTGGGTGAGCAGCAGCGGATAGCACAGGACATTCTTACTGCTCTAAAGGAACATCCCGATGCTTGGACACGAGTTGATACAATTTTGGAGTTTTCTCAAAATCAAGAAACTAAGTACTATGCTTTACAAATTTTGGAACAGGTGATACAAACCAGATGGAAAGTTTTACCCAGAAACCAGTGTGAGGGAATTAAAAAATACATTGTGGGTCTTATCATCAAAAATTCATCTGATCCAGTCACTATGGAGAATAACAAAGTGTATCTGAAAAAGCTTAACATGATTCTTATTCAAGTGTTAAAAAGGGAATGGCCACACAACTGGCAAACCTTCATAAGTGACATAGTGGGTGCGTCCAAGACCAACGAGAGCCTTTGTCAAAACAATATGGTCATTTTGAAACTACTCAGTGAAGAAGTGTTTGTTTTTAGCACAGGACAACTTACACAGACAAAAGCAAAACATCTCAAAGATACTATGTGTTCTGAGTTTAATCAAATATTTCAACTATGTCAATTTGTACTTGAAAATTCACAAAATGCAACATTGGTAGATGCAACACTTCACACATTGTTAAGATTTCTGAACTGGATTCCTTTGGGTTACATATTCGAAATGAAGTTAATTAGCACTTTAATTTTTAAGTTTTTGAATGTGCCAATGTTCCGAAATGTAACATTGAGCTGTCTGACAGAAATAGCTGGTGTAACCGTCAGTAATTATGAAGACCAGTTTGTAGCACTGTTAGTGCAGACAATGGAGCAGCTGGAAGTGATGCTGCCGCTGTCAACCAACATCCGAGAAGCTTATGCTGCTGGTAGAGATCAAGAACAAGTGTTCATTCAAAACTTAACTCTTTTTCTCTGCACATACTTGAAAGAGCATGGTCTGCTTATTGAAAAAAGAGGTCTAACTACAACTCTCATGAATGCTCTTCGATATCTAGTCTTGATATCAGAAGTAGAAGAAGTTGAGATCTTTAAAATTTGTCTGGAATTTTGGAATGCTTTAGCAGCAGACCTTTATAAAATCAGCCCCCATTCGTCCAGTTTGTACAGCTTAGGCAAAAGTGTCGGTGGAAGAGCTCTGTATGCTGATGTCTTAAGTAGTGTACGCTACATCATGATCTCTCGAATGGCAAAACCAGAAGAAGTGCTTGTGGTTGAAAATGAAAATGGAGAAGTTGTAAGAGAATTCATGAAAGATACTGATTCAATAAATCTCTACAAAAACATGAGGGAAACACTTGTATATTTGACTCACTTGGATTACCAGGACACTGAACGCATCATGACTGAAAAGCTGCAGAACCAAGTGAATGGTACAGAATGGTCATGGAAAAATCTTAACACTCTTTGCTGGGCAATTGGGTCTATCTCAGGAGCTATGATGGAAGAAGATGAAAAACGCTTTTTGGTGGTTGTCATCAAAGAACTTTTGGGCTTGTGTGAACAGAAAAAAGGCAAAGACAACAAAGCTATCATAGCTAGCAACATTATGTATGTTGTAGGACAGTATCCACGTTTCCTAAGAGCCCACTGGAAGTTTTTAAAAACTGTTGTGAATAAACTTTTTGAATTCATGCATGAGACCCATGATGGTGTCCAGGATATGGCTTGTGACACCTTCATTAAAATTGCCTTGAAATGTCGCCGGCACTTTGTAACAACTCAGGTTGGTGAAGCTTGTCCATTTATTGAAGAAATTTTAAGCACAATCAGTTCTATAATTTGTGATCTTCAAACCTTGCAAGTACACACTTTTTATGAAGCTGTAGGATACATGATTAGTGCACAAGTTGACCAAGTAGCCCAGGAACAACTCATTGAGAAATATATGCTTCTTCCAAACCAAGTTTGGGATGATATAATATCACAAGCATCACATAATGTAGACATCTTAAAAGATCCCGAGGCAGTAAAGCAGCTTGTGAGTATTCTTAAAACCAATGTCCGTGCGTGCCGAGCTTTGGGTCACCCTTATGTGGTGCAGCTCGGTAGAATATACTTGGACATGCTTAATGTTTACAAGGTGATGTCAGAAAACATAAGTCAAGCTATAGCCCTCAATGGAGTTGTTGTCACCAAACAACCTCTAATCAAGAATATGAGAATAATAAAGAAAGAAACCCTGAAATTGATCGCCAGTTGGGTATCCCGTTCTACAGATTGTAGTATGGTTTTAGAAAATTTCATACCTCCACTTCTTGATGCAGTTCTTCTGGATTATCAAAGGACCACAGTCCCAGATGCTCGAGAACCTGAAGTATTATCTTGCATGGCTGCAATCGTGTATAAACTTGGTGGGTTCATCACTTCAGAAGTTCCCAAAATTTTTGATGCTGTCTTTGAGTGTACTCTCGAAATGATAAACAAAGATTTTGAAGAATACCCAGAGCATAGAACAGAATTTTTCTTGTTGTTACAAGCAGTCAACACACATTGTTTTAAGGCATTCCTCAGCATACCACCAGCACAATTTAAGTTGGTGCTGGATTCCATAATTTGGGCATTTAAGCATACAATGCGAAACGTCGCCGACACCGGCCTTCAGATACTGTTCGGTTTGCTACAGAATATGGAACTGCATCCTCAAGCAGCACAGAGTTTTTACCAAACATACTTGTGTGACATTTTGGAACATGTATTCAGTGTGGTGACCGACACATCCCACGGTGCCGGCCTCACCATGCATGCGACCATCTTGGCTTACATCTTCTCTCTGGTAGAAGCTGGTCGTGTTACAGTGCCTCTTGGTCCAACCCCGGATAACGTTCTATACATTCAGGTTTGTTATTTATGTAACCATATACTCTTTGTTTATTCTTATCATTGTTTGAAGTATTGATGAAATTGATAACTGTGAACTATTTCTGCTTTCAGGAGTATGTGGCAAATCTTTTGAAAATAGCATTCCCTCACTTAACAGACAATCAGATCAAAATAACTGTCCAAGGACTGTTCAACTTGAACCATGATATTCCTGCTTTCAAAGATCACCTGAGAGATTTCTTAGTACAGATAAGAGTAAGTACTAAACTATAATCAATTTAACTACTAATTATGGCTACAATGGCCAGAAATATAATTTTGTAGACAAAGTAACAAAGGTCAAATAAAAAATATCGGCGTCATCGACATTCAATATTATATGTTGTATAATAAAAGTCAAAGTAGGAATAATATTAGTGAGATATAGCACACTACCCTATTAGGTCCTCCACATGACATTGGATCTTTTTACTCAAACATAAAATCTTAATCGAGTGTCAATAGAGGGCGCGCGGGCGTCACTACAGCCACTCCAATAAGACAGTTGTTTTTTTTAAAGATTATTGGCAATTTGTTATTGCACAAATTACTAATAGTCTCGATAGCCCCGTCGTATTAATCTAAATAAGTGAGCTCACCACAATAGTCGATCGGGGGCGGGGACCGATCCCGCGTTCCCCGTATCACGAGTCGGCCGATCCCTTCACCGTTCGGCTATCGTGGCTTTAGAGTAGGCGCACACCGTTGATTTTTAGTTGGCCGATAGTTGTGCCCGACTTTAATTTGTATGAAGAATCGGCCAAATCGAATCGGCGTAGTGTGCGCACTCCCATACATGCCCGTACTGATCCGACCGACTAAACTATCGGCCGACGAAAAATGAACGGTGTGCGCCTACTCTTAAACGTAGTATGGCCAGGCCTGTTCATCTCCGCGAGTTTACATTGAAAACAAAACACGCACGATGGCCCACCTACAGGACACTATTCGACAAGGCCTCACATACGAGCGAACATTGACTGACGCACGCGTATTCTTGTGTATGATGGAAGAAAATAAAGAAAATGGTGTACTAAATACTGTGCAGTATTTAACTGCCTAAATAATAATAAAAACACAGAATGTATTTTTTTAAGTTGCCTCAAGACACTGGGAGGTAAATAAGTAGTTAATATTATTCATGATAATTTCATGCTAAATGATATATTTCCTCCGCCATTTTCCGCAGTTTGGCACCTCACGTCACATCATTTTACCGAAGTCAGCCCTATAGCTTCGGCGCAGTGCCGATCATTGACGTAAACAAAATGGTGCTTGACTCTTGAGACAGGCTAAATTACACCATATTGTTAATGATATTGAGCATACATTTTTTTAAATACCTTCGCGAAGTAAAACTTCTGTACGTAGTACTTATTATTATTCTGTGGTATGGCCAAGCACTGAGTATAACGGCGCCGCTTGCAGGAGTACACGGGTGAGGACGACAGCGACCTGTACCTGGAGGAGCGTCTGCTGGCGCTGCGCCAGGCGCAGGAGCTCAAGCGGCGCGTGCAGCTGTCCGTGCCCGGCATCATCAACCCGCACGAGCTGCCCGAGGAGATGCAGGACTAGCGCGCCCCGGCGGGTAACGGTTCACTTTAGATAACTCAGTTAGCGACAGGGAATTAATAAACTATTATTAATTTTACAATGTGACATAACGTGTTTTGTTTACCTATTTTAAGTGAATATACGAAGCTAACAATGCTTTTTTTTCGTTTTCTTCGCATGGGTTATCACTTTGTTGGTTTGTGATTTAATGGTTATTTATGATATTCACGGTTAGATAGTTGACAATAAAACTCTGAACTGCACGGTTAATCTTTATTCAAAATTTATGGTGAGAACATTCTGTCTACTTACTATACAGCACTATAGTATCTAATTATAAAATTAACGCAATTCATTATGGTTATTAAAAAGATATGACATTCAGTCAAAATTTTGGTATCGGAATGTAATTTAAGTAACTATACCTACTTTGTTATAAGTATGAAAACAATATATTAATTTATGATTTCTTGACTATAACTTGGAGACTCAAAACATTTTAATTCAATTCAAGTAATTACATCTTTGAAGTTGATTTTTATCCTCACAAAAACGTCTTACTATAAGCATCCGAATTTTTATTGGTATATGAATATGTATCACTGATGTACATAAAAGTATTGCTTCAAAAACATCAGCAAAACTCGAATTATTTTTCTGGTCACCATTTGGTTGCTATTATTTTGTATTATGACATTAAATTTTCCAAAAAAAGTAAATATTTTCAAGAATACATTTTTTAATTACATACAGTTAATCTGAGAAACTGCCCATCTCATTATACATGGGCTCGAAATACAATCGCGAAGTAAGTACTTTTTCGCTTTGATTTTTTTATATTTCAAACATGCTTTGTAAACGACCAGTCGAAGGTACAAAGCTTATTTAATTTGAATTATATTAAATCAAAATTAAAAAAAACTAAATTCGAAATTATATTTTGATCTCCTTTGGCAATGTTACCCAAATGTCTCCACATTTACAGCTCAAAATAAAAAAAAACTCAGAACTACGTCGTACCACTCATTTGAGGCATGACAATTTTATTCACATACCCTACGGTAGTGATTGTGATCTAGAGCCAACCCATTCATATAGTTTCAATTCAAAAGTACATTCAGAAGAATTTTGGGTGTAAAATTATCTAAATCGATTGAATGGAAACAATTATTCTAAAATGAGTTTCAGTGATTTTACATTCCCAGATTACTGAACTTTTATTGATATTAAAATTTTTCCCAACTCACATCTTTTTAAAGCCGAAAAACGATTCATCTAACTAAAAGATACAAATACTTGAGGAATACTTTGGATTCAATAATGATCATGAGTCTTATTTCGTGGACTGATCATGTTTCTCGACTTGGCGTACTTGAGTAACAAGAATAGGCAAAATTACCTGTGACCATGATTGCTATCTCGTAATATTAATAAAAAAAGGTGAAACGAAGTATAGTTGATTGTTGTGTTAAGTTCAACGCTATTAGACTTAATAAAGGCATTGAACAGTTAAACATGAATGTTAATTAAATAGAAATTATTTCTACTCTTTACCTGAAATAAGTTCAATTAAAGGGTGTAAGTTGAATCTAAGTGGACTGTTACCGTTACCTAGCGTTAGTATAGTAGGTCTGTTACTTGTGCCTATAAAATAGTACCTTATTATGTCAGATTGTACAGTGGATCGCATGGAACAATGCAAGGTGATGAATGCAAGCGAAAAGATTTCACAATGCAAATCTTTTCAGTGAAGGTATATTTTGCAAGCACAAGCTAGTGTTAGGAATTAATAATATAAGGCAGTAATGCATCAATTTACATTGCTAGTTGAGGAATAGAATATTTCTATGTTTTTAAGTAATATTCAAAAGTAGGTAATGAAATCTCTGTGATGGAAAACAAGTGTCGGATGTTCTTAATGTGCGCTATGGAATCTGTATTATGAGTAGGTTCTAGGAAAACTTTATAAAGTGAATTGCTGTTAGTAACATTTTATGTTTATTTTTTAATGTTATCTGAACTAATACATGATGTTTTGGAAATCTAAGCAATCATGTAGATTTCCGAATGCATTTTGGGTCCGATTATTGTCAAGTCTTTCAATTTTGTGTTTGAAATAAACCAATAAATATAAAAAGTGTTTTAATATAGATTTTGAAATAGTTGATATGGAGGTAAATACTTAGAAGTTGTATACTCATAAGTTAAAAACTCGACTGTTATTTGCACTAAAGCATAAAACAATTAAATTAAATATGCTACAGCATTGTTAGTGATAAATCCTGTACCTTTCTAGTAGTGTGTACCTGTACAGTTCACTCACACACCAAATTGATTCCTCCCCTCTTCTGTACATAAGCTGGACTCTCCGCGATAGTAAGTATTGAAGGTGCTTCGTGAGCCAAGCTCCTCGACGTGGCCTTTTCATTATTTTTTCCAGATAATGTTGCTATCTATTACGCACACCGGCACCGTACACATCACACGAAACACAAAACAAAATTAAAAAAAAAATTTTTCGGCAAAATATCAGCTGTCTTATTGTAATTATGTAGCGATCTCTTCCAGACAACACAAGGAGAGGAGTTAGTTGACTTCAAAAAAGTGGATTGAGGTGATTAATATTAATTAATACAAGTATAAATATTTGTTCCACGACTACTGGCTAAGGGTCAATTTATTTATACTTTTGCACATAAAACTGTACAGTGGCGGACTTAATGCCAGGTGGCATTCTCTGCCAGTCAACCACAGGTCGAGTAGAGAGACTAAGGCGGTGCAATATGCCGTACTGCTGAGACTGAGGTGTGCCGAGGGGTGAGGGGTGTGGGAGGACAAGCTGAAGAGTCTGACTAGAGCGAAGATTTATATTGTGAGTAGAATGAAGGTACTGGAACCTCTCTTTTAGAGCCCATTTATCCGATGTGTGCTAGTGATACTTATTGGTGATATTATACTGGCTGGGTGCCACCGTGGTGCCACCCAGTGGGAGGGGAGAGATATACAGCAAAACATTGTTTTCATTTGCCGTGTCATTTGTTCATGGATTTGAAAGGTTATGCATACTTATCTACGCATAAATCTGTTTTATAATCAAAAGTACTGCAATTTTTTATCGATAAAGTTCTTGCGATGTAATTTTTAAGTTAATGAGCCGCTCAGCTCATTTCTTTATTGTTCTGTTGGCTATACTATTGTCTGGTGAAGATCCTAGGCACAAGTCCAGAACTAGCCAAATACTACCTACCTACTTTGACAAATTGCAAGCACAGCAAGTAATTACATATTTCGTTACTGTAACCGCCCGCTTACTTCTGTAGCCGGAGCACGAATAAATGTCGTTCTCGTTATGATTTCTACGGTTCACGTTTATTTTGTACTAGCTTTTGCCCGCGTCTTCACCCGCGTGAACTTTAGTTCGTCACAGATCGTCATAAATTATAGCTTATGTTATTCTGCGTTAATTATAAAGAATAATACTACCTATAGTAGTTACATGACTGACATGACATCTTTCGCATTTATAATATTAGTAACTAGGATGAAAAACATTAGCGCACCGCGCCGCGCCGCTACGGTTGTAAGGAATACGATGAGAGTTATTCGTGCTGAGGGTACTGATCATGATTTGCACCAACTGCCAACTGCTAGCAACAAAACTGAAGATTGAATCTTTATGAAATTCCAAGTGGAGAAGCATGCGTCTAGCGTCTGCAAATTATGTAGACCACAGAAAGTAATCACTATGATGTCTGCGGACAACAGCAGTCGCCTGTGCCTGTGCTTAAGTCTACTTCTAAGTTTGTAATATTGCATTGAAACCCACCTATTAGGTACTACATACCGCCGAATAGAATGAAATGCTTGATGTGCGGTCGCGTATTATAGTAGCTCGTGGAACCCCAATAAATTAGTGACTATCAATTTTTATAAAGATAAGCAATACGGCAGCTAAAACTTATTTTAATCTGTACTTTTTTATCTGTTGAAATTTTTTTAATCTGTGTGTTGAGCTCTATAGTCTATGGCTGTCTGTTCTGGTGACTGTCATGCAGTGTTGCCAGAAGGTTACTTTCNAGGCTATACAAACTCGGCGCCTCTACGTTTCAAAAGAACTGCTGCCGTTTTAACGTTGAGCTCGTAAGTAATGTAAACTAAAACCCTAAGCGTAAAATGAAACTATAAACGTGAATCATAATAAACATAATAATATAAACATTGAGAGACTTGTAGCGTAATATTTGTTTTGTTGTGTACAAGGCCTATGTTGCGCATACTGTACCTACTTACTTATCGATACTCCATTTAAAAAATTAGGTGGCAGTAGCGGCGCGGCGCCCCTATTGTCTTGGCGCCTGTGTGCGCCGCACACTTCGCACACAGGGGCGGCGCGGCCCTGCATGACATGACATCTTTCGCATTTATAATATTAGTAACTAGGATGAAAAACATTAGCGCACCGCGCCGCGCCGCTACGGTTGTAAGGAATACGATGAGAGTTATTCGTGCTGAGGGTACTGATCATGATTTGCACCAACTGCCAACTGCTAGCAACAAAACTGAGGATTGAATCTTTATGAAATTCCAAGTGGAGAAGCATGCGTCTAGCGTGTGCAAATTATGTAGACCACAGAAAGTAATCACTATGATGTCTGCGGACAACAGCAGTCGCCTGTGCCTGTGCTTAAGTCTACTTCTAAGTTTGTAATTTTGCATTGAAACCCACCTATTAGGTACTACATACCGCCGAATAGAATGAAATGCTTGATGTGCGGTCGCGTATTATAGTAGCTCGTGGAACCCCTCAGTACCCCTAACTACTTAACAGTACCCCAATAAATTAGTGACTATCAATTTTTATAAAGATAAGCAATACGGCAGCTAGAACTTATTTTAATCTGTACTTTTTTATCTGTTGAAATTTTTTTAATCTGTGTGTTGAGCTCTATAGTCTATGGCTGTCTGTTCTGCTGTCATGTCATGTCACAAAATTTTCATTTCGGCAGCAGTTCATTTTTATCAGCAGATAATACTATCAGTCATTGTGCTAATGGTTCTCAAATCTTTTAAAACTTCATAGAAATAATTGAAGCAAGTTTTAAAAATGGCGAACGTTAACGAGGAAGCCAATGATGAAAATAATAGCTTAGTACCAAGTGACAATAATGCTACTGAACCAACTGATGAAAATGTCGATGTAAGTTTTTAATAAAATGTGTAATGTGCAGAATTAGATTAAGGTTAATTTACATATTTTTAGTTTGTCTTACAACTAATTCTATAAGTTGGTAGCCTCGTCCTATATTTTGCAATCTTTGTACTTATCAAAGGCTGTCTGGGTCGACCTTGTTATTTATAACTAACCTTTTTTCCAGATCAATGCTCAAATCGATGAGCAACGGCAGCGAATGCAGCCAACAAAGCTTGAATCATTTTTCGCAATAACTAAATCACTTATTATTAGAGCATTAGTAGTGTACTTCATTACTTCAATGTTTCGCCAGCCTGCAGCACCGAAACCTGATATCAACAATCCTACAGGAAGCCCGCGCGTCCCTGCGATTAACATGTTTGCAAATGGGACAGTGTTAGACATGTATTGTTATATTTCAGAAAATACTTTTTTGAACAATTTTGAAGATGGCAATTTGATATGGAAACAAACAGGACTTGTGTATGGTGATTGGTATGGAGGTCCAAATAACGATGGCACATTTACATATTCAACAGATATTACCCCATCGGAGTCTCTAAAAAATAATGGCTCAATCTATTTGCATGTGTTTGTGGTTCAGTCTGGAAAGTCACCTGACCCTAAAAATAAAGAAAAATATGCTGGCCCTTATGTGTCATATGGCAAAAAAATGTTAAATAAATATAAAAAGCTGAGATATCAAAAAACACATAACTTATTGACAGGACAGACTGAAAAATCTGAAGAAGAAATTAAAAAAGCAGAGACCTTGAAAGAAGAAATAGTTTCTCATTGGCATCCTAATTTAACAATCAACATTGTGACTGACCAAACTAATTGGGTGCAAGGGACTGTACCACCACCACTTGATGAATTCATTTTCTTTTTGCCTGATGGCAAACAGTACAAACCTGCAGTTTTTCTAAATGATTATTGGAACATGATGAGAGACTATACACCAATCAATAAAACTACAACCAGCTTGAAGTTGGAATTGACATTTCAGCCACTGAGTCTTTTCAAATGGCAGTTATATACAGCACAAGCTATGAGGGATAAATTGAGCATGTTCTCGGCCTTGGGAGCAGAGGAGCAAGATGAGGAACAAGACACTGTGAAGGAACTCCTTTTGGACACATCACCTTATCTTCTGGGCTTGACAATATCAGTATCCATTCTTCATTCTATTTTTGAACTTTTAGCATTCAAAAATGATATTCAATTCTGGAATAACAGACAGTCACTGGAAGGATTATCTGTGAGATCTGTATTTTTTAATGTTTTCCAATCATTGGTTGTACTTTTGTATGTGTTAGACAATGAGACAAATGTGATGGTCAGAATATCCTGTTTCATAGGTCTAATAATTGAACTGTGGAAGATTAATAAAGTAATGGATGTAAAAGTAAATAGAGAAGAGCGTATATTTGGAATACCTAAATTGACCTTTACTGACAAAGGCTCCTATGTTGAATCTAGTACTAAACAGTATGATATGTTGGCATTCCGCTACTTGAGCTGGGCTTGTTTCCCCCTTTTAATAGGTTATGGAGTGTATTCTTTACTGTACAATGAACATAAAGGGTGGTACTCATTTATTCTGAATATGATGTATGGATATTTACTCACTTTTGGATTTATTATGATGACTCCACAACTGTTCATAAACTACAAACTGAAATCTGTTGCTCATCTGCCATGGAGAATGATGACATATAAATTCCTCAACACATTTATTGATGACATATTTGCTTTTGTTATTAAAATGCCAACAATGTATCGCTTGGGATGTTTTAGAGATGGTAAATAATTTTACCTTTATTGTGTTATAACTTATTTTTTATTAAGTGTGTAAGCTCAGCTGATTTGTGTTATTTATTTACAGATATTGTTTTCTTCATATTCTTATACCAACGCTGGATCTATAAGGTGGACCACAAGAGAGTCAATGAATTTGGGTTCTCTGGTGAGATGGAAGAACAGCAAAAGCTTGCAAAGAATGGTACACCAGCTATTACAGAATCAGAGCAGCAACCTGCGGATAAGAAAAATGACTAAAACTATAGTAAAATTATCCATAGTTAATATTATAACTATTTACATAAAGATACTATAGAATACCCTTTTATGTAATTTAACATGCCATCCCATTAAAATGTATGGATTGTTTATAGGACAGAAAGGTATTTTATAGTTTCGATAATAATTGTGTTTGTGTAGTTAGCAGAAATAGTATTTGTCATAAAAATAGCTATAAAAGTATTATCGCAAATATATCTAGTGTAATTAAGCCAAAAATGTTTGATATTTAAAAATTCTTAAACAAATTCCTTGTGTACCAAAAGATCACTCAGAAAGAGGCTAGCATAATTATTAAGTCCTGAATTCTTAAACATTAAAACAGCCTTGAATCACCAAACCATAAACTGTTTTGCTGTTTATTAATAAGGGCTTTATAATACCACCCACTGTTTTGGCTACTTTACTACTACAATAGCTTTTGCATTTATCGGTTATAATAGCATTCAATATTACATTAAAATCAATCAATTTCACATTAAACTGATTTTATCAACATATGTCATGCATGATTTAATCATTTTTGTGGGTTGGGTTGGTGTATAACGACATGAATTGAATAATTTCGAATAATTAGGTATCTTAATTTTGACTATGAAATAATGTCAAGGATAATTACATGGGATATGTTTTGGGTTAAGTTGTTATTATCTATTCTGAAATTTTATTAGTGCAATACACAGTACAATAAAATATATTGCTCCTGTCTCATAATATACTGATAAAATAAAATTAAGGATTAATACTCTTTTTATATGAGTGCTCATTGATCTAATTTAAAATATTTTACCTAGGTGATTTGTATTTAATTATCTTTTTAAATTATAAAAACTAAGGTACCAACATGTTTGTGATTTTATGCTCATAATAATAATTTATTATGGTTCTTTACATTACAAGTAATTATAAATTTATTTTAGTGAGAAATCCATATGTACCAAAACATTCACAGCACTGACATTATGCCTCATTGAAATTGTGAAGAGATTAGACGCATTTCGTACTAATCAACATAGGTATGATGAGAACCACGCAAATCGTAGGTAGGTACCTATGTATGTTTTTCACAATAGTATTCAGATTGGGATTTTTTTTAATGTTCTAAAATACGTCTCTACGTTGACTTATGGAAAAGGGTGCAACTTTTTGATCTCGATACTTCTAAATATCCCAATGTAGGCGTTATGTTCAGATGAATCATAGCAGAGCGTAGATAGACAGACTCAAACTAATGGAAATATTATTATACCAATTCTATTTCTGCTTTAATTATGTAAGTAATCATTAATTTTTATAGCCACTTTTAAGTTCTTGGTTGGGAGGGGGATCTCGCACATAAATAGGCATGTACCTACGCGACAACGGATGTTATAGTTTAACATAATTAATTACTTAATTGTGATTAATTAACTTGTTGCGGACTCCGCGTCCGCATAGGTTTGAACAAAAATACGCTCTGCTTTGAGCTCCTTGCCATTTTCGCCCTCTAAGCAATTGTATATCGTTAATCGATAAGTTTTCGTTATTTTTATCTCTGTTATATGGAATTATTGATAATAACGTCCTATATTTATTAACATTTTTATAGCTATATGCTATATTGTCACCAGACTCGGGATTTTGTTCAATTAGTAATTATTTCGGTTGTGACAATCTGTACCTATGTATGTATGCTACACCGGTTGAGAGATCTCTGATTACAGCCCGCGACATATTAATGTATGAAGCACAATGATTAACTTAGTTCCGTAATATATAAATGTGTAATAAATTTGTTGTTTCCATGTCTTATATTTTTATTTTCTACACAAATGATGTCAAAACTAATCTGGGTCAATCTGGGTGCAAATTATAAAACAATATTAAATTTAATCGATATAATATATTTGAAATCAACTTAAATCCTAATTACAAGAATTTTGAGACACAGTATGAAGATCCAGCTTTGTTGAAATAGTCGTTATAATGGCCGATTCTCATGAGTCAAATTAAAACAACAATATCTATAAGTTGGCCCCAGAGCTGCAGTTGTACTAATCAGTTTAAAATACTTAACCAGGCCTAGTTATTCACAGCATGAGGTTCAAATTGATGTAGGTCTATTAAGGGGCCTCCTCACTTCGAGAGGACTATAAAGTTTATGTTGATTTTTTTTTACAAATTTTTAATAAGGCACGAACACCTAATAAATACTGTTGGCTGGGAAATTCATACGACTTATTACTACTTCATTCGTACAGGGTTACTTTGACATACATACAATTTACACAACACTAGATCGACTCATGTTCTTATCAGAGTTATCAGCATATTTCTTCTGCAAACAGACAATAGTACATTTTAAATTGTGTACACTGAACAAAAACAAGCGAATCTAAATTAATAAAATAATTACACACTATCACAGATTCTCTGTTTAATGGAATAGATGTATGTATTATGTTTTAGCTAGCAAACTAATTTATAAATTTGATAAAATTTGATTTTTATATAAAACATTTGGCATACCGTCAAGTAAAACTGGAAAAAGTGAGTATTTTTTATGCTAAGTAAAGAAACACATTTCTATACTTTTTTTAAAACTTATATTTCCAAATTTAACACGACCCGCGTGTAGACAAATCTGTGGACGTGAACCAACAACTGGATACCTTGAGGCTCAGGTATTTCGCTTTTGTTAAAATCTAAAATTAATTAAGAAGTATTTTTAACAGAGCAGAGGAGAGTTTTATAATAAAAGCTTTGTGGACAGTAGGCCTTACTTTTTACCAAAAACTGCTCAGAACTGCCAAAAAAATTCACGCAATATTAGTCGGTCACGTGGCTCTGACTACAGAGGCGGATTATCAGTAAGGGCAGCCGGGCGCCCAGTGGCCGCGCGCGCCGCAGCGGTAGCAGCGTCCGTAGCCGCCGTAGTAGGCCCCGGGGATTCCCCCACCACCACCATTACGGCCCGCCCTCCGCTCTGCGGAACAAAAGAACGTGTGTGTGTATACAGGGTGGAAACGTTAAGTGATCTCACTCGATTATTTCTAAACTATACAAGATATTTAAAAACTGGTTACTGATCCTGAAAGTGCTTCAAGAGCTCTTTCAAACGGTACCAATAATAGGTTACAGAATAAACTGTATCTATCTAAAAATTCAATGTTTCGAGCTTCCTTACTAAATGTATGCCAGACACACAATATTAGAAGTGCAATTTTTTTTATTTAATAAAAAAAACTCTTAAAATAAACTCGTAAATTGTATTCTTATTTTAAATTATTCATGGAAAACATTAGTTTTAGGCTTTACTTGCTATAATATTGTCAAGAGATGAGTGTCATGAATGTGGTAGTACAAAATGTATGGAAGAAGGAAACATTGAATTTTTGGATAGATCCAGTTTATTCTGTAACCTATATTATTAATACCATTGGATAGAGCTTGTGAAGCACTTTTAGAATCAGTAATCAGTTTTACGATATCATGTGTTGTTTTTAAAATAATGTGACTTTACCAAATGTATGGAAGCTGAAAACATTGATTTTTCGGATAGATCCAGTTTATTCTGTAACCTATTATTAATACCGTTTAATAGAGCTCATGAAGCACTTTCAGGATCAGTAACTAGTTTATTGATATTTGGTATAGTTTAGAAATAATCGAGTGAGATCACTTATCGTTTCCACCCTGTATTACTAATACATAATTATAAATGTGAAAGTATGTGAGTATGAATTGATGATTGTTCGGTCCCCTTACACCGCGCGGGAGCTGAGCTAGGGCCGTGTTGACGCTGCGCGGGCACTGGAAAGACCACGATGCTCGAAAGATGCGAAACCACTGAATCGTTTTAGATGAGATTTGATAATAACTGAGGCGCGTTATGGCCCCCCATCGTCGTACCTGCACTATCTGGTAAAGGCGCGACGGGCTGCGCGTGGCCCCCGGCAGCGGCGTGAGCGAGCTCGGCGGCAGGCGCACGGTGGCCCCCGGCACCGGCGTCCGCTGCGGCGCGTCATGCCCCCCGGTGTCGTACCTGCACTATCTGGTAGAGGCGCGCCGGGCCGCGCGTGGCCCCCGGCAGCGGCGTGAGCGAGCTCGGCGGCAGGCGCACGGTGGCCCCCGGCACCGGCGTCCGCTGCGGCGCGTCATGCCCCCCGGTGTCGTACCTGCACTATCTGGTAGAGGCGCGCCGGGCCGCGCGTGGCCCCCGGCAGCGGCGTGAGCGAGCTCGGCGGCAGGCGCACGGTGGCCCCCGGCACCGGCGCCAGCGCGCTCGGCGCCAGGCGCACCACCGGCGGCCTCTCCGGCGCGTTCATCGGAATCATCGCCATCGCCATCGCCGTCAGATCCACTGTCTGTATCGGACCAGATGGCGTGATACGTGTCACTGCTGATGAAAAAATAATTATGTTAGGTATGGTTTAAAAGAATTTGAAGTGAAGATCTGTCTTCACAGGATACATTGACTTAGGCGGTTATCACACTGCGCCGCGCTCCGCCGCGGAGCGCGGGGCGACAGATTTAATCATTGTATGCAAGTACCTCAGTTTGTATAGAAAACACGCGCGGCACTTCACACTGACAACGCGTCCGCGCACGTGATTTTTTATATGAAAATCACGGAGCGCAGCGCAGTGTGATAACCGCCTTAGAAGAAAAAGATATTGATAAAACTTACTGAAATCATCATCAGTTTTACATTTATTCTTGCTGAATAAATAGAGAACACATGCACAAAACATATTATTTACTCCTGATTCTCGAGCATAATTTCTATTCTACTTGAGCAAAAGATTCACAGTATGCTAATTTGTCACAATTCATGTCAAAGGGAAACTATTAAGCGCAAGATTACCAACTTAATTTTAAATGAGGAGATTATACTTGAGTATCAAATAAACAATAAACATACAGGGTTAGTCACAAACGCAGTACCCACATTAATAAAGTTAAACTTACGTAATCAGATTGTGATCTCTCTTACATAGCCTTTAAGAGCTAATTGTAATTATGTGAAATACTAACTAGTCCTCGTAGTATTCCTCCTCCTCCCCCTCCTCGTACTCGGAGGCGCTGTCGTAGTCGGATTCGTCAAAGCCAAAACTTCCGCTGCAAGCGAAAAACATCAATTGTGGACATTAAAACACTAGCTCGAAGGTTGAATTTTCTAACACTATGAAAATGATCAATAAGCGTTTATGAAGACCAGACATTCGTGCATGCATGAATATTTTAAAGGTTTTTTGAATTATGATTTATCGAGTCGAGGTTGGCTGATACCTGATATCGCGCGCAAATAACCTAAAGGCCGAGTTGCACCACCTGACTGACCGTACCTATAATGATAACTGGTGTTTTTTTTATGGAATTTGATAGATTTTTGACGATTGTCAAAGTTAAAGGAAGATGGTGCAACCCAGCCTTAGTACCTCAAAGTTAGTATGGATAAGTGGTTTTCGTAAAGTTAATCAATACCTATGTCAATACACATTAGAACACACACACAATACACAGTCAAGTGTAATTAATAGTCTTGTCAGTAAAATATTTTTGTAGTAAGTGTTAATGATTAAAAATACAATTTTAAATTGACCACCCTGAGAAATACACAATCTAAATATCCTGCCGTTGCGAGAGCCCGGGCCGGGTCAATTAAGATTCGGAGCATCCTCATTGCGAATTATACGATAATTATTATAATGATATAGCGACTAGACTAGCATGCTGCCGTTTGCTTCACAAGTGACATAATTATAGCCTGATCAGGAACATAAAAACCCTCGCCATGTTGCGGAAAACTAATGGTACTAATTTCTTTTAATGGCAACAGTAACTGAAAACTTCATTGACATGTCACCTTGCATGTCAGTCTATTGCTGTCAAAGTGTAAACAAACTTTATTTTAAATGTGCGCAATTGATTTTGTGAATAACATTGCTAAAATCTTTTTATAGTCGTGAAAGAAAAGTGGTTCACAATGTGTTAAAGTGTTTGTCGAAGAAAAATACTAAGGGTTCGGACAATATTTTCATTGAATAATTTTTCCGACAAGGGTGTCAAATTGACTGACATGTTTATCGTATAATACAGTCCACTATGAAAATTAGATGTGGTTTGTTTCAACTACCTATTTTAAAGTTTTTTGTCACTTTCTAAGTGTTGAATTTTATGGAATTGGGAAAGAAGTACCGAGTTTGAAGCGCTCATGAGCAGACATTGCAGTTAAATATTCAAGTTCTGAATTTGATTATTGATGAATAATAAAATAAATCCTACTAGCTCGATTGATGTTTTCATTTAATTTATTTAAACCAGGTTACCTATAATAATGTTTTTTCGTTAATTCATGAAAATATCAAATTAGCCCGTAATCCTAAATCCTGATACATAAAGTTAGCCTATTAATTTAACACAGGTACGACTGTACTCAGTGTTGCACTATCAAATGCAATTGACGCGCCTCTATGCCAGGGTTTTTATGTTCCTGGTCAGGCTATACAATTTATTTATGTTGGAATAACGAAACAAAGTTACAATTAATTTAAAGTTATAATAATATTCAAGGTTATTGTCGGTACGAAAGAGTTGCTTATTTAGCTGTCTATGTAAAAAACAGTTTACATAAACTAACTATTCTAGTAGCAGTTACAGGGAAATAATTCGAATGCGATGTTAATGAACTTGAGGAGCTATATTAATTTGATTACATATTCAATTTCAACATAAATATTGAGACATGATTTGCATTTTTGAAATGATTGCTATGCTATGTTGCGTCACTTGTTAAGGTTAGGCCATACAAACGCGTGCAGTCTGCGTGCTCGATGGCGACTAGAGCCCCGATTACGGTAACTTTTATAACGTCTACAATCCAGACGCGTTTCTGATTCTGCGATACGATTGGTCAAAACAGCTGACGTACGCTGTTGAACGACCAATCGTATCGCAGAATCGAGAAGCGTGTCTGGATTGTTGACGTTAAAAATTACCGTAATCGGGGCTCTGATGTGTACAATTTGTATCGATGAGTTCACGTCAATGTGTCATTGTTTGCGGCGATCTATGCACCAGTGATCGCCATCGCTATCGCCGACGGAAGCTGCACATGTTTGGCTGAAGCTTTAGTATTCGTTCAGATTGATTTCAGACGATATGTCCAGGCCCGCCTCCTCGCATCGCGACTAATGCCCGTTTTCACCATCAATCCCTAATTTTTAAGTGACCCCTATGGTAACAAATAACAGGAATATTGTTAACATAGGGGTCACTTAAAAATTAGGGATTGATGGTGAAAACGGGCATAAGACTCCCGACTCCCCGCAGACTGCAGACTTTTAGTCGGCCGATAGTTAGGCCGGATTTTAATTTGTATGAGGAATTGGCCGATTGGCGCACTTTCTACCAACTATCGGCCGACAAAAAGTCGGTGGTCTGCGCCTAGGCTTAAGATGACAAAACAAGAAAGCATACCGACTGGTCCTCACGCTCTGCTGTCGTGCTAGTGCGGACTCGAGTTCTGTGAACAATACAGCTTCATAAAGCTACTCTATACATTCATTTATTTGGCATACTTAAATCTGAAAAGTATAAAATATGAAACATATTCTAATCCCATTAACTCAGTTACTTCATTGTATGTTTTTTCTTATTCTTCATTTCAATTATTTTCAAATACCTAACATTTCTTTGTCAATAGCCTAAAAATATGCAGATTTTTTATGAAGCTGCCTTGTTCACAAAAAATATGAAACTTGATACAATGAAACTTATTTTAATGATGAAAAATTTGTAATATTTAAAGATCTTACCTTCTCTTGATTTAAGCATTTCCTGTCTTTTTGTTTTCATTTCTTCTGTTAAATTTTGTACCATTTTTTCAATAAACGAATCTAAAACTAAGCTTTTGCATTCAGAAGTTATATTTGTCCTGGAACAAAAAAAATTAATATCTCTTATGGTGCTGTTATGGCGCAATTATTTTACATACTGGGAAGAATTATTTTATAAGTCCAAAAATATAGAAAAGTATGTAATAAGTGGTCTAGGATTTCATTTATTTTGTAAATTAACAACACAACATCAAATAGGTACAATGAAAGAGATCAAACATGTAAATGCTAGAATACTGTTGTTTAAGAATAGGTATTATTATTATGAAGAAAAATGCCACTTTTGCCTTTTGCCCACTGTACCTGCAAATAGGACCGTCAATTTGCTGAAGGTCGCGGGAAGCACCGAGGACCAATCGTTGTGGAAATCCGCGTGGGACAGTGCGGCAGTGGACGACATTATGCTGAAACGAACCTGCAGATAGGGCAGTCTTTCTTTTTCTTCTTCCACATGGTGATGCAGTATTTGCAGAAGGTGTGTGAGCAGCTGAGTGTGGTGGCTGCCACGAACAGTTCTGCGCAGATGCTGCACTGTAATTCGCTTTCCATCAGCTCCCCCACCTCTGCCAATGTGCTGTGCTTCGTGGAACTAGCCCCTGCTGACTCTGACGTCCCCAGACTCTCTAGCAGATTCTTCTTTTCGCTTTCTACTGATTCCAACTGGCTTTTCACCTATGAGGAAGCATAATTTAGCTACCAACTTTTTAACATCAGGTTTGCAAGTTCAGTTTAACCCCTGTTGTGATGGATATCTTTAAAGTAAAATGATTCCGAATTTTTTTGGTTAAATAGTTGAGAGTGGAGGCTATAGAGTTGATGTTCATGATGACAGGGTTATGAAAAACAAACAAGATGGTCCAAGAGATGCCAGCATAAAAATAAAATTCACTTACTTTTTCTAGTTGTTCTTGTAATGAACTGATCACTTCGCTGGACTGGTCTGCTTGTTTCTGAATTCTATCAGCAGCCAATGCTGCTAATTCTGTCTCCCTTTCTTGAACGCGAGCCTATAAGAAATTTTATTTTCATGAGAAATTATTCAAAACATGTAATATTTTAGCAGTTTTTCTATTAACCATTATTACATAATATTTACCTTCAGTTCCTCAATTGATTTTTCAGCACTACATTCTGCTTCTGTTAATTTTTTTTGGATTTCTTCCCTCTCTTGCATCTGCAATAAATAGCAAATAAAAATTACTTTAAGCCCTTGCTTGACAGTTCAAAGGATCTGAGCACAAAATCTTTGTGCTCTGATTGGGAGGTTTACAGTGTGAATATAGTAAAAAAAGAGGCAGAACTCACCAGTTGTTCTCTCTTGACTTTCTCTTCATCTGTGAGTTTCTTCCTCTGTTCCACTTGCTCGCTGAGCATTTGTTCAGCCTTCTGTCTATTCTCCTCAGCTTGCTGCACTTTCAGTTCCAAGTTTTTCCGGATGTCTGCTAGCTCTTGTTCTAATTCTTTCTCTCTTTTTTGTTTCAACTCTTCAAGTTCTTTTAATTCCTGAACACATCATTTTGATAAACACAAAAATAACGCATATTGTTGAAAAATAAATAATTTCGAAACAATAGTCAGATCCAGTGTTAAATTAAAGCTGACATTAATGTAGTTTTCTAATTTTACTGGACAGATGGTGTCAGAAGTTTATTAAAAGCGAAATTTTCTTTATTTTATTAAAAAATAAAAAATTTCATCGTCTAAATAATATTATAAGCTTATCTCAAAAAAAAAAAAAAAAACTCAATACCTTCTCTTTGGCTAATTTTATTTGTTCTACTTCATTTTTGAGCATTAGTTCCAATTCATCCTTTTCCTTTAGCCTGATCTCTTCCTGTTCTTTCATCTTGGCTTTCAGTTTGTCCAACATTTCTTGCTTCGATGAACTCTCTCTGTTGAGTTCCGATAGGAACTCCTCTCGTTCCTTTAGAAGCTTTTCTTTAAGGTTGTTATTCTCTTGAAGTAGCTCAGATTCTGTTTCATTATGCTTTTGAATTTGATCCTGAAAGAAAAGTTATTATAGGCACTTCATTGTTAAGCTTGTTAGTGCAACAAGTTAAATTATTTACCTGTAATTCTGCAATCTTTCCTTCCATTTCTTCTTTTATAGACGCAATTTGGACATTTTTTTCCGCTATTAATATTTTCTTCTGATTTTCTACATCAGTTTTTTCACCTATTAAGTTTTCAATTTGACCAGCATAGTTATCGTCCAGCTGTTTAATTCTCCTCTCCATAACCAATTCCAGCTGTTCCTTCAATATTCTGGATGTTTCTTGCATACTTTTTGCATTTTGAATTTTGTTTTCGATATGTTTAATTTCATAACTTTGAGATTGTTCAAATGTAAATTTCACATCATTTATTATGTCTTCACCATCAGGCTTTTCTAATTTTATCCGTTTTCTCGGTATTTCAAATATATCTGATTGATTAACAAACTGGTACACAAATTCCTCAGAAGGCTCCAAAACAATAATATCTTCATGGTTAAGTTTTGATTGCTTGCCTTTGCCCAACTTGTTTCCATTTATTGTGATGCCGAATGAACTATTATCTTCAATTAACCAGTCTGTATCTTCTTTTTTAAAAATGCAGTGATTTCGAGATATTGATATAAAGGGCACGACAGCTGAGTTATTCAATCCACGGCCTAGTGTAAACTGAAAGTAACTCTTAGTAATTAAAGTTTATCCAAGGGAATTTGTCTAAATTCTAAAAGAAAGTATTTTAATACTCACGTTGTTACAGGTTAGTACAATTTCTTTGAGTTTTTCAAATTCCGGTTTCAAAGGTTTTTTAGTAATTAATACAGGTTTGTTATCATCCATTGTCGCGAATCCACAATTATTATTAACTTATTCAAAAAGTCGTCTTTTGCGATGCTAAACTGTGCTAAACACATCACAATACAGAGCAAACATTCAATCAATCAACAAAAATCACTGACAAAAATTCGAATCGGTTGACAATTGACATTTAAATATGTATTATAGATGACCCACGCTGAACTGTCCCGCCAAACTCAATGACAGGGGGGCGCTACCATCGTTCAACTTTATGGTTTCCAACATGGCAAAAATCGGAACCAGCCATTTGGTATTGACGGTGGCGCCCCGCTGTCAATGTCATCGATAGGACAGTTCAGTATTTTGGAACTATACTTTTCTCTATGATTTAAATCATAGACCTGTGTCATAGACACAGATATGTCATAGACTATTTCCTTCCTCATCGTATAACTTTAATGCTTAGAGCGCATTGCGTCACTTTTAGCCGGAAGCCTCCTTCTGGCNATAGTATTACCGTGCAGTCGGGTAAAATAGGGTCTATTTTTACTAGCGCTAGCTAGCGCTATTTTCGGCCAAACGCCCCCAATGTCATTCATTTTTAGTTAGCCAGTGACAGCGTAGTGATGGCGCTTTCCTTTGGCGCTTTTCGCTTAGCGATCGCCAGTTTGAGCGCTTCCAAAAGCACTTTTTTCCGTCAAACATCCCCAATGTCGCTGACACGGATGGTGATTTGTATTTATTTTGTCAACATGGACACTTCGACGATTTCTATTGGTAGATAGACGGAGTCAGCTATCTGTCTCATTTTCAGAGTGGAGGAGGCCCGTAGGGTATATTTGTTCTGCGGTGCAAGCGGGCGCGGCGCGGGCGCGGACGCGGGTTAGGCGCGCGCGAGTGGGTATAGCGCTTCTTTGGTATGGCGCGGCGCCGTTTCTAATCACACGGTGACTGCGAGTGTGATTCTAAACCATTTTGATTCCATCCGCGCCTCCATCCAGTGTGCATGAGGCTTTAGTTTTAAAACTTTGCACAGCTACAGGCTGCTAAGGACCGTTATGGATAATGCTTAAAACAACTTTAAAATAAATCTATACTTAATATTATAAATGCGAAAGTAACTCTTTCTGTCTGTCTGTCTCTCTTTCACGCCAAAACCACAGAACCGATTTTGATGAAATTTGGCATAGAAATAGTTTGAGTCCCGGGAAAGGACATAGGATAGTTTTTATCCCGGTTTTTGAAACAGGGACGCGCGCGATAAAGTTTTTCTGTGACAGACAAAATTCCACGCGGGCGAAGCCGCGGGCAGAAATATAAAATAACACAAATTAGGTACGTATAATTTTTTAAATTTATTTTTTACACAGTTATTTTGTCGGTAAAATTGACATCACAACATCGCCTTAAATTATCGCTAGCCCTATCCCAAACACACTGTATACTCGTAGCTATGGAGGTATTAACTTTGGAGTAAGCATATTTTCTTGAAATCATAAAGTCGAAGTATCAAAACATACCCACAGCCGAACATAGAACCTCCTCCTTTTTTGAAGTCGGTTAAAAAAGACAATTCATTAGTACGAAATGAAATTCGTTAGTCATACCTACTTACTTTATTCGAGCGTGCAGATAGCGAGCGTAGATTTCCTTCCTGCAGCAAAAACCTTTCAATTTCGCAGGGCACTTTCCGCAGAATAAAGCAGAAGACGGAGGCTGCGACGGAATGAAGAGGCAACGAGAGTGAAAGCATATTTCGTGGCGGATAAAACGAATAGATAGAGGTCTTTAATATAAACGAAGCAGACTTTAGTACTCTCGAAAAATGCAAGCGTAGCGGGCGGGTACACACTGAATTTTTAAAGCGTGGTGTTCGAGCTTTTCGGTTGCCGCGGCTCTACGCCTTAAAACTTTCCGCTACTTTGCTCCTTACTTTTATGGCGTTTTTTATTATTTCGACCCTCGTTCTAATTCCGTCGAAATTATCGGAATTACTTTCATTGAAATTGTTGAGCGAGATTCCACAGCATTTTCTGAAAGTTTTGTCTTTTGGGGTTCCGTTCTTTTAATGGTAAGTAAACAAACAAATTATGGTTTAATAAATGGTGAATGGTTTTTAAAGGTCTAGCCGAGAGAAATTTTAAAACAACGAAAAATTATTATAAAATATGCTGAATCGTAGATTTGTAGTGCTCGTAGATTAACACATGGAACTACGAGTGCTACGAGCAAGTTCGTAGCGCCCCTCCTACGCGGCGCATGAACGCCTACTTATCTACTTACATTTTAACATTAAAGGTGTAGGCTGCATTGTTTATTTTAACTTTATATTATACCGACTTTAAAAAAGGAGAACGTTTTCAATTTTATAGTATTTTTGCTGTATGCTTGCTTATACCTACCTACATTATTCTTTTAAACTTTTAAAAAGAATAAAATACTGGAATGATTACAGATTCAGTCCCTCTAGATTAAAATTTGCAATCGTGGGCGATGGGAGTGAGTTTTTTTTGGAAATAAGTATAGCGCCTATCACAGAGTTATTACAAAACGTATAAAATGGACGATCAACATAATAAAAGCGCGAGAGATTTTAAGCTGTAATAACTCTCGCAAAGCGGGAGAAGGGAGCACAAGGAATACTAAAATAAAATCACATCGGTGAACAATGGAAAATGTTTGTAACTACAAAAACAACGTGCAAAAAATATCGTAGTATTTAAAAAGAATGTAAATTATCGACGGTGACTCTATCTAAAGCAATTACCGGGTTGAGGTTCCATATCTGGTCAAAAAAGCAAATGAGTTGTGTCATCAGCCTCAGCAGCGCGCTTGGGCCCTCAATATATCAACGTGGACAGCACGAAAATTGGACTGGACCCTTGTTAATGTCCCGCACTTAGGCCCATCCCCGCCCGCTTCTGATTATTTATTTAAGACCTATTGATACCTATTCTCACCCGGGCATAAGTAACGAGGTGATAGTACCTACCAAGTACCAATACCATCGGTTGCTAACGTATGTTGAAACTATGCTGACAAGTGTTTAATGGAAAGGTTAATTTAATTTGTAGTTTGGGATTACTCACTAATAAATAAACATTTTGTTTGTTGTGATTTTGACTCTTGTAACTTTAATTTTGGGCAACCCAGCAAATATGCTTCCCGGTATAATTGAGAGAGAAGAGTTTCAAACTTGTCCTAGGTTTAATTGCATTTTCAAATAGAGCCACACTGTTTAGGCGCTATGTAATGTAGGTAATTTACAAAACCATAACAAGGAAACATTTTTCGTAAGTAATAACAATTTCGCATTGACGTCATTTGACTGAAACGAAATAACAATTTCAAAAAAGGTTTAGAATGATTTAATATGTAATATATTTTTACTATTTTCATATCAGATTCGACCCGTACTTTATGATTCACAAATAGTTCTTACTGGCTATTCTTATTACCTACCTTATATTAGTAAGGTAGCGACTACCTATACCTACTCATAGAGACCATTCTATGACGCCCACCCACAATAGGACACCCTACGTAACGACGGCCGCGATTAGTCCATAGTACATTAAGTACTTATTATAACAATAATCTACTCGTAATAATAAGTCCGAGCTAATACAGCGAGGGTCCGTGGTAAAGGTCACACGACCGCGTCGTTCCGTAGGATACAAAACAAGCAACAATACACAATTTTGGTGGTAACCCAACGCATATTAGTGACACTATAATAATGCAAAATAATATTTGTTTAATTCCATTTACATACACAAGTTTTTTCCCACTAAATAAAAAGAAAATAAGCATCACCAAATTCACGCTCACCTGATATGTCTCTGATTCTCTGATTGAATTATTAATCATTTATTTATCAAATTAAGTTGGCTTATCTGTTTTTTTCACATTACATAAGGGGTACGGAAAAAAAAGGATAAAAAAATGTTGAAATAGGTACCTATATCTTTTATTCCACGATGCCTTCTGAAATGCCTTTATATTCAATCGAATTTTATCCCCTATTTCACAAAAATGGGTCTTCTCGGAAAAAGGACATTTCAAACAGCCGAATACAAAATTATAAGACATTTATAGTTGTTTGTTACTAACAAGAGAATTTGGCATACGAATTTGTACCTAATGATCATTTAAAAATATAGTTGACGAAAAGCTAGGCGTTTTCTTGCGCGTTTCCTTTACGCGTATCCTCGACGTACTTTTCTGGTAACTCCGAAAGCTGGTAGATCAATGCCCGCCCAGGCCAGCCTTCGCTAGGGAGGGAGCTCAGTGAATAGATCTGCGCACACACCTGTCCGTGAGCTCTTTATCTGATCTTATTAAAGCGGGCAGGAAGCCTCTATTCCGAGCACGTAGACAATTATTCGCCTAAAGTGTGCGGGCTTGAATCACTAACCTCAGCGAACGGCCAACTTTTACAATAAATCCATCGCGGCCTCGACACTTAATCAGTCCTTCGATAAAAGCTTTAATCGGGAGTTAGAGCATCTACTTGCGGCGCTGATGTTACGCCGCGTTGCTGAACTAAATTAAATTAAACCCCCCGCGGCCTCTACAAACTTTTGTGGAATTCTGCTTTCAATCAGACCTTATTTGTGCAGTGCTCAATATATTGGTATTATTATGCCCCTTGTTCTGTTAACGGAAAATTAAGAGAGCTGAAAATAGAATAACGAAAAGTAACGTACATATATGTTCTACTCCTGAAAGTACCCGAACTTTGTCGTACTTTTTTAAACTAAAATAGGGATATATGTATTTAAATCAAACATATTTTAAATCTCTAGGTTCAATGTCGAGGCTTATCTATAATATGTTTCTCAGAATCAGGTAGGTCTAAAAGAAGGAGTTGTATGTTGTTCTAATCAGACTTTTGGCTTAACTGCTAATATATTTGCTTTTCTGCGTTTTCACTTACGTTGATCTTTATTAGACAGGTAGATCTGGGGATTCATTGAGAGGCCAAATATCAGAGAATAGGATATTGATGGGCTCACAGCGGCACATCCGTTGCTCAAGCCAATTCTACCGCAGTTAATTTCACTTAGCTAAGATCATTTGTTCTCTTCCCTAGATTTTATTTATCCCATGAGCTTAGCTAGGAGAATTTACGATAGTTCAAAGCAATAAGGTTTGCTTAATACGGTAATGTTTTTATC